CTCTTCATTCTATTTATCTACGCGAACAGGTATCCTTTCCTTAATTGCGCTGGGTATCGTTTTGCTCGTATTCATAACGAAATAACGTTAGTAATGACGGCGAATTTCCTAGCTAACTAACCTTCCTTGACAGACCGCTAGTAAATATATCGAATGTCATGATCGTATTCACTATTATTTATCCTCTGTCATGTTATTGCCTCCTCTCCCAACTCATCTTTTTTTTAATCTTTTATCTTCTCTATTATTATTGTTCTGTCTAATCCTGTTAGTGCGTCCTGTGCATCTATCGGCCATTTCCCCTCTTCGAGTCCACCACCGATTACCAGGCCTTTCGACTCTACTGCTCGACGCTTACACACGGCTTTGCCCTCTCTCGGACCAGATCAAGCAGGTTCTCGAGTAAATTCGCGATCGCGTACTTCGCGGGCTACAAAAGAAATCGAGTCTCATCCTGCTCCAGCTCGTCCACTCTCCTCAGCGCCGCTCCTGAGCCCTCTGGGACCAGACGCGAGGGCTTCTCCCACGGGCCCTGGCCCTCTCGCCTATACAAATCTTGCTTTATCTTCTAGCTCGTCTTCTCCGTGCTTCTCGTCCCTTAGCTCAACATCCGTCTGCTCGGATAAGTCGCTAGAGTCTACACCATCTATTCCTACCTGCTCTTTGCCTTCCTCTTCTGGTCTTCTCTCGCCGGCAGCCGCTGTCGCAGCCACTGCTGCTCTAGTCGCCTCGGGCACGCATCCACTGACTGCAGCACATTCTCTCGCCCTTTTACATTCCTCAGCCAACGCGGCCAGAGGCCTTACTGCTGCCTCTTTACTTTCTGGTTTAGGTAAGGCTTTGCGATTTTTTTAATTATCTACAGTCTAGTATTATTTGTATCAAGCCTAATAAAAATCACTCTCTATTAGAGCATATTTGATTGAGTCTATATTTATTTCAAAGGAAAAGTTGATCGGAAAGAATTTGTAAATTGATCCCACTGTAAACCAAAGCAGGAATGAACTGTTGGATTGTTATCTGCCCACCGTTCTGCGATCCCGAACGACCCGAGATAAGCTCTTCTCCGTCATGTGACATGCATCATCTGGGCAAGAAAGCATACTTGACGAAAAGCGCATCAATATATTTTAACAATTAGGATAGATAGCCGGCTGCAAACCTGCTCATTTCTATTACCTAATCTGGCGATATTAACGGAGCATCCCATGATATGGTTAATTTTTTATATGTTTAATTATTCATCCTATGGATGAGATTATCTTGCCAATTGCATATTTATACATGCGCGTTTTATGCATTCCACAAATTCCTTAATAGATCTGTAGGTTCTACGTTCTTGAGGCACTACAATTTGATTATTCCCTCTACGAGTATTTGATATCATTTAAGCCTACTCAAAGATTTTACAACGAGCGCCTTGTGTTTTCCAAAGGCATCTGACTTAATAAGCTCGACCGAAGAAGCTAGATTTTGTTCACTAGGCATTTTTCAAATGATTTTGAAAATAAATTAACTATTTTTGATATATGTAGAACTAGATTTATAGTATTTCGTTTTACGGGCACAGATACTTGTCTGGTAGCAAACAGTTAATGACCTGGGATTTTGCACTATATTCTCTCCGCGTTTAACTGTCATATTTCTCTACAC